CAGAATGGCTTACACTTCAATGAATGCTTTTCGTTATGAATTATTCATTAATTGTCGAGTGTCGGCCGAATGAAAACCATTAAAATCGTTCGTAAAATAATGTTTTATTTCAAGAGAATTATACACCAGAAAAAACCTACATGTGATCCCAGAAATGTTACCTGGTTATAATTTTGTTTTCAGAAGCACATGATATATCCGGGGCCGGGTGGAAGTGCCAATTATAGAAATATATAGTATATAAATATAGAAGTCAATGTCACGAGGTGCAAATTATCTAAGGCCCAACGTAACTGGTTTTTTAATACTGCAAGAGCGGTGCAAATATCTTTCTTTAGAAAAATCCAACTTTAGTGGTCTATTATCAATGCTGCGTTCTGATTGGTTGAGCTACTATAGCTACTAGGCTAAAATGTTATAGCCCACTAGTAGCGAAAAGCGCCGGCTTTGAAAACCAAAACAAAGGCGGCTGAATAGCGTTTTCCTAGTTAAAGTTGTTTTGTCTCGATATTTTTGACCACCTAGTTGGATTTTACTAAAACAATTATTCCTCTCGCCCTCATGGCCCCTGAGTCAATAGCCCATGACCCCCCTGTATAACTCATGCATTTCGGGCTGATAGTCCGCTTGTTTCTACAGTAATCTGGTGCTTAATGCAGTTACAAAAAAACTCCATACCTAGACAAAACGAATGATGATATCGAGTCTGGATGAAAAAGAAGTTTCAACACCTGTGTAATTTATCATTTACTTGGGAAAACTGGAGGGGCTGGACATTCCGCTTGTTTGTGTCATTCCAACCTTCAGAGAAGATTTAAGACGAAGTAATTTTTGTACTCTTTTCAGTCTGTTCAGCCGATTTGGATATAATTTGTAGCGGATCGTTCTCAAACTACGTGAAATTTTATTTACCATTTTCACCGAGACCATAATTATACACCTCGTTTGAGCTCCCCCCCCCCATTTTTCATCACCATTGTTTCCAATTTTTTCACCTCTTAATAGAGTCGTACCAAGAGAAATCGAAGAAAAGGGTTGTACCAAATTTGGGGGTGTAAACAAGGTACGTTATGGTCTCGGTGAAAATTTTCAATAATTTTATATCTGTGCACCAGATTTCCACCTGGGTGGTTTGTGTAAATGGTAAGCATCTCTCAGTTTCCAAAGATTGTTTACTAACTATGCAATACAACAGACGCGCTGATCAGACATAACAACTCAGGTTTGATTGATATTCTTATTAGTCTGGCTGCCAGAAGCGACACACACAATTGAAAAGAAATTCATAGATAATTAAAATTTAATGTTGCATATAATTTAATGGTTTTTGAGAACACCTATCGCTTTAGAAAAAGACTCAATATTTTACAGTGTTTGTCAGATTCCTCAATTTCACGGAGTTCTCCAACAGTCTCTCCCCACTAATCGGCGATGTTCTCTTTTTACTTTTGCTCGTTTTCCCTCATTCCGTTGTTTTCTGTGATACCTAATGCGGCTTCTGCTCAAATGGAAGGTTAGTTTTCTGTTATTTATATAGAAGGACATAGACTGACATGACTTCTTGTGCTTTGTATGTAACATATGACTTTCCTTGGTAACTAAAAATTCCGGTGAGTGCGTTAAAGAGATTGTATAAGAGCTCCGATCTAAGTGAGGACTGTGGATGTAAACTATGTTTTCTTTTAAAGACACCATGGTTAAAATGCAAAGACGCTTCTGCCCTTGGAAATGAAAATAGCACTAGTCACTCGGGGGAAAACTTGGCAAACAATTTGGTTTGGTCATCGTTAAAAATTGTCTCTCCATTCACGACTCAGACTCAGTAGTGAGAAAATTAAGAAGTGGAAAAAAATTGTTATGGTCATCGTGAGACGATTGTCTTCCCCTAGCTAGTTCTTTATTCAACAGCTTAAGTACTGAAACTTCTAGCAGAGACATTTTTTAAGTGTCAAGAGCTGCAGACGGGCTACATGGGTTTCCATTCCTTACCAAAACCACCCCACCCCTCCATTGCTAGGCAGGCTTGTTACGCCAGCTGGTACCTAAAACAAACGACTCCACGGCTGATTGCTTAAACCACGATGGGTAAATTGAGGTTGCAAAAAAGGACATTTCTTAATCCAGCCTACTTTAAATGAGTGACAGTGCTCATAACCTAAAAAAAATATTTTCAACTGAAAGTATACATTTGTTGTGGAGTATTTTGAAAGTTATTTTTAGACAGATCTATCTTATCTTTTAAGTTTAGTTTTTGATCTTTTGTTTTTACTTGTACTTTATTCAATTCACGCTTAGCTCGTGAATTTTTTTCAGTTACCATATTCGGAATGTTATTCGCTTGGCATTCTCAGATGTTAGTTTTTTACAGGTGGTCGTGCTTGTGGTGTTAGAGCTGACCTTCGTTCTTTAGTACTTATCAGTTGCGACTGTGCGTAGGCTAATCTATTCCCTAACAATAGGAAACCTGTTGCAATGTTAGCGATACGATATACAGACATGTCCAGTTTTGGCTATTAAAACCACTACTGTACTTGAACTAGATGACAAAATTAGAGATCCGAGACAAACAAATATGTCTCCTGAGCATTATTTTAGAAGTTGCAAGCAGCAGGGATAAACTTTGAAAAACTGTTAAGCTGAACAGTTTTCAAAATCCCTAATTTCAATCCGTCTCAACCTTCTTCAGTTTTGCCCATCCGTAGCATCTGTTGCTTCTGTTATGTTATTTTAACCTTGCTTTAAAGTTTTAAGAGGCTATTTTTATGTTTCTCTCAATTTAACGGGCATTTTGTAATTTCCTGATTTGGCTGAATTTCGTGACACAGCTCCTTTAAAATGAGAGATTATATGGACAGGCGGGTTAACCCACCTACGCGGTTTACCTCACCTTACTGGGGTCCCCACCTCCATATAAACAGGCCCTAAGAAATGTGCCCCAAAGTGTGATGCACGTGCGGAGCTGTTATTTTTTCATTACACAAATTGTTTTCAGACGTTCGATCGTTGCCGCCATCGTCGATAGGCTGCTTCAAACTTAATAAATCTTAATCAGTTTTAAAGCTCACAAAAAGTATGATTTATAGAACTACATGACTTTAAACAGTCCGGGCCACAACCACATCTGGATATGTAATTTCCTGCAATGTGATTGGTCCAGAACGCAACCAACACATTGATTTGACCGCGAAAAGGACTAAGTTCGACAGAAATGTCGCAGCAAAGAGCGCTATGAGGGCCTCCCAGGGATTTTTAGGAACAAGGGAACATCGCCATTTACTTTTAGGGAACAAGGGATGTTTCAAAATAACTTTAAGGGAACAAGGGAACTGTTGAGGGATATTCGGGAACAAGGGAACATTGACCAACATTGACTTTCGACCATTTTCTAACTTTTGGAGAGATTTCCATTAACTGTTTATGAAGACATTTCCGACGTTTCTGTAATTTCACGCATTTCCGACGACTAAGCCTGGTGACTAATCTTCACAAGTGAACTGGTGACGACTGGGGACGAGTTTAGAATGCGTGGGAACCTTGGGAGAGACTCCGTTGGGTGGACCGCCATTTTTATGGTAATTTTTCTCTTTGGTGTTCCATGTCTAGAAACGCTAACCATTTATTGATAAATGGCAACTGAAACAGAAGGAATTCAAGCTCAATCTGCGGATATATCAGACACAACGGTAATTGTACCGGTTACCGGTGCAATTTATCACAATGGAAATGAAAAGCCCACAGAAAGATGGTGTTTTGAACTCGGTATGAGGACTGTTTCAGATAAAGATTTTACGTCAGTTTTAAGCCGCTTGCAGAAAGGATTTGGCATCAAGGAAAAAACTTAAGAAAATACCTACGAAGGAACAACAAGACACCGCGCTCTAGTTCAAAGACTCACTTATGTTAAGAAAAACTAAATGGACTGTGTGAGCGCTAAGAGAATTATCTTGACTGACGCACGGCATATTTCTCCAAACTTGGTGTAGCTTTAGTTTTTAAGCCACAGTGTGCAACTCATATCTGAAGATCGCACTATCCGTGGAAATTCAAAATCCTGCAAACCACACTATAGAGCTGGGCCCAGAGTCATATTGACATGGCAGGAAATAATCACATTCACGGACAAAGAAACTTGCATGCATGCATGTAGTTATTCAGATACAGTCATTTCGGAGAAAACCAAAAAAACTAAAATCTTTATTCAGCCGTAATAAACAGAGGTCAAAGGATATAAAACACTTTACAACTGCATCTGAAATCAAATCCTATGAGGGACACCTACCGAAGCATAAACCACAGGAAATGATTACTCAGTATGTATGTAACAAACCTGCTTCATGACCTCTAAATATTCTTGGTTTTCACCCACGTGACCCACCGCTTGGCAACGGTTGCTATCCGCCATGTTGGTGTCCCTCAAGTGTAAACAAACCAAGATGGTTCTGTGCGTTGTCGTTGGATGTGGAAGGAAAAGTGGAAAGGGAAACACCCAAGGATTTTTTTCGTATACCATCAGTTGTTAAACATCAAGGCGAAGAGTTCGAAGATCTCACCACTGAGAGGATAAATAGTTGGATTTCGGCGATAAGTCGAGACGATACTGATACGAAGAACGTCCTGGAAAACGAGCGAGTTTGTGAACGCCACTTTGTGTCAGGAAGGCCGTCACCGAACTGGGACAAATTTAACGTCGATTGGATACCGACCTTAAACTTAGGTAAACGAATACACAAACAGAAAGACGTCGAGGCTGCGACAAAAAGAGCCGAGAGAGCAAAGGCTCGAAGGAAAGAGTCATTGAACGACAAGAGAATGAAGCTGCAAGGAAAAGAAAGCTCTTGGACCAAAGAGGCGAACAGGTTGCTAACATGGACTTTAGGGAAGCGTCAACGAGTACTTCATCCGAAATAGTCGAAGACCATAGCGGTGAAATACAGCCTGAAGAGCCTGATACTCAACAGCCTGATATTTCTTCAGCCGCTTGTGCGAGCGATGAAGAAACAATGGCGGTTGTATTTCACGACGCTGAAACACAGACAGAAGAATCTGCCACATTTCCACCAGTCGACGCTGAAACTCAGACTGAAGAGTTTGAATATATATTCTCCAGGCTCAGCGGATATCAAGCACCCGACCAAGATTTCTTTCAATCTGACGACAAGGTCCGTTTTTATACGGGACTGCCATCATTTGAGATTCTAATGGTTGCTTTTGAACACGTGTCTCCACATGTCACTCGCAAAACTCACTCCCTCAGCAGATTTCAGGAATTTGTCATGGTCCTGATGAAACTGCGATTGAATGTACCCTTTCAAGATCTGGCTTACCGTTTCATGGTATCTGTGCCCACTGTGTCAAGGATTTTTTCCTCCTGGCTGGTTGTTATGGACACCAGGTTGTTTCCTCTTGTTTCCTGGCCAGATAGGGAGCAGTTATGGAAAACAATGCCAATGTGTTTTCAACATGCATTTGGAAGGAAAGTAACTGTAATCATTGACTGTTTTGAGGTGTTTATCGAAAGGCCGTCAAATCTGTTAGCCAGAGCACAAACATTTTCATCGTACAAACACCACAATACGATCAAGATTCTCATTGGTATTACACCCCAAGGAACTGTGTCTTTTGTTAGTGAAGCCTGGGAGGCCGCACCTCTGATAAGTATCTGACAGAGCATTCTGGATTTCTCGACCAATTGCTACCAGGAGACATGGTAATGGCTGATAGAGGGTTCACGATTGCAGAAAGTGTTGGCTTAAAGCAAGCCAAGCTGGTTATTCCAGCCTTCACAAAGGGAAATCCCAGTTGGATCCAGTTGATGTGGAAAAAACCAGAGGCATCGCAAGTGTTCGTATCCACGTGGAGAGGGTGATAGGGTTGTTGCGGCGCAAGTATACCATTTTGGAAAGCACACTTCCAACAGATTTCCTTGCTTGCAACCCAAATGGACCACCTGCATCACAGATTCCTATGATTGATCGTATTGTGAGGGTTTGCTCCGCACTTATTAACTTATGCCCACCTATAATACCATTTGACTAGTTTCAGTTGTACAGTTATCTTCTTTTAAATGGACACCCCGGTATACCAGACACTTCTGTGCAGCGGACAGCTTTCACTGGTCCTAACTCAGGCAAATTAGAGCTGTTCATCTGTAACTAAACTCTCTTTTAAAGAGAGTTTAGTTACAGTTAAATTAAAACAGACACCTAGAGCTGGTCCCAACGGTGTCCTGCTTACTAGAGAGTTCACTGTATTGCCAGTTTTAAGTTTAACATAATTATGTGCTTCTGTGAACAGTAACTTAATGTAGGTGAAGGTCAGTAAGAATGTGTCCTTAACAAATATCTAAAACATTTTAATTGATTCAAAATGACAATTTTTGAAGATGTAGACTCTCATGTCATCAATTTTCTTACTTCTTTTAATTACATAATTTGTTAATGTTTCAAACAACAAGAAAAGTTTTAAAAAATTGTCTTTTGAGATGACAGTGAAACAGGTATTTGAGCAAAAACACTCAAACCCGTAATTAATGCAGTAGTTTTCAGCAGGTTATTTTATTGTTCTTCTGTTTGGTCTAATACTACCATGAAGAATGTAGTTAAATTACAGTTAGTACAACATTTTGCAGCACGTATCGTTGCTAAAAAGCGTAAGTATGATCATGTAACACCTATCCTTAAATCATTAAATTGGTTACCCGTAAAAGACCAATATTATACTTTAGAGATGCTGTGTTAGCTTTTAAATGTATGTCGGGACTAGCCCCTGGGTACCTTAGCGATCAATTAATTCTACGCAGTACTGTAAGTAACCGGCAGACCCAGACTCACAGATGCTAAATATCCCTTTAGTTAGGTCTGCCACTGGGCGGAAAACATTCCACTACAAGTTCAGGAGTTGCCATAAAGGCATTATGGTGACAACCGGGAGGGCACATTGTTTACAATTGTATGTATGTATGTATGTATGTTGTGAGCAATCACGAAACAGGCTTGTAGGGATAGAAATGTTATTTTTCCGCTAACAATATTTTTCACGCTCTACTTTATGTACTGAGCACTCTTCTACGGAGATATCGAACCACAAACTTTATGTATGTATGTATCTACAGTGGAATCCTGATTTTTTTAACCCACAAGGGAAATAATAACTGGTTCAAGCAATCAGGATTTTCAGATATCAGGAGTAAAATTATAGGCTTAAGAAATCAAGGGACTGAGAAACCGGGATTCTAGTGACATGTTTTTCTCATGAGTACAATATTATGTACATTTATCAACAATGAGCAATTAGACGCTGATCTGATCACCATTAGTTCAAAAATGAAAACGCTGACCCATTTCTGAGCAGGCAAACATTTTTCAAGATGTTGGAATGCTATTTGCATTTTTAATTCCTCTTTCAGGTGAAATATCTTCGTTATAACAAACAGTCACTTAAATTAGTGGTAACTAATGTAGGCCATTCATTTAGAAAAAGGTCTATTTTACCCGGGAGTTCTCCTTTAAGACCAAACCCTTAGCATAATATTTTCTAAAAACATATTTCATCAAAGAATAGCTGTCCTTTCAATAACCTGCTGTGGAATGATGTACCCCCTTTTTTATTTTTCAAAATAATTTCCCTTGGTACACTGTAAAATCTGCCGCAAATAATAATTATTACCTATACCCCTTTGGAAGCACATAAACATTATTGCCCCAGCTATTTTTCAAGGAAATACAGTTTTATAATTATTGATTCTGAAACAGATCAACCTCCAGTCATAACTGTGTCCCATGTTGGGCGCTTTGACAATTCTGGGTTGGTAGCCTGAATCTGTGTAAGATTTGCCAAAGCACTCTGTTTGTCAATTTCACCTGATCTCAACATCATCATCACTTCCACTAACAGAATCAGTTTGGATGTTGGATGTTGATGGTACAGACAATGGCACAGGTAATGATGAAACTGTTCCACTGAGTTGAAGAAGTACATGGTGGCACTGACCTGTTTGGCTGTTTACACACAGTACTGTCAGCTAGTCTTACAATTGTTTGGCATCCTTTTTTTATAAGACAACTTAAATGAAAAAATTTACTATTCTTACAGTCTGTGCTGAGGCACTCTAGTAGTTTATCTGTTGAGGTTGCTTTGGACTTGCAGAGACACATATTGTCGCAAAGCAAGGCATTTTGGTTAGTTACATTATCAGGTACACTTAATATTTCCTCTTACAGAGGTCACGAATCCCCAAACAATCTGGTTGAAGGCTTCCAAACTCTTGTAGGCCTTGAACTGCCGTTTCGTATACTAGCTAGTCTCTAAAACCAGATATCCTAGCAAATCAGTGGCTTCAATACGTGGCAAACATTCTGGGTCGAACTGCTCGGTTGGAATGCTGACCGGGTCAACTCCAAGTAGGAACATTTTCTGAATATATCGTGTCTTTACTTGGCTCTCGAGGCTTTTGGCGAACTCGGAAAGATCAAGGATACTCGCACTGGTCCTATCTGAGTCCTGATCGCTTTTTCCGTCCGATAATTCCATTTACGACCGCAAAATTTCGAAGAGAACGAAAGAGTTGCGAGATCCGACATACTATTATCACAAATTTCACGGTCGGAAGGGACACCAACATGGCCGACAACCAAATTTGGAAATGCCCGTGACGTCACGTGAAAACCAAGAATAAGATTTAGTGCGGCAAAAACAAGATTTACTCAGTCAAAGTTTAGAATGCTACACCTCTTGCACTCTGTAGTGCTAGTAACCTTTGCGCGAGAGAAAAAAGAAAGAGAACCTTTGTTCAAGCAGACTCTCAAGGTCACGTTTCATATTATCACGAGCTTATGAGTCGTGTTTGACCTGTCAACGCTTATTTCTTAATATGCTTTTTGGAAAATTCAGAGAAATACATTGAGGTAGATAGCATTATTTGTATCTTGACGACCTACAAACATAATCAAGATGTTTTGCAACTTAAGGAGGAAGAGCGGATCCTACTTCAGGATGAAATTCAACAGACAAGTGATGTCCTCACTCTTACAGAGCAGGGCCGTAGCCAGAAAAAAAATAAGGACTGAGGCAATATCTACGGTTGAATTCCCCGCCTAGCTATTTAGGGTCTTTATGATGACTACGTTTAAACAAAACACTGGGATCAAACCTTAAATGACTGAGGCAAGTGCCTCAGTTTGCCTCATACTGGCTACGGCCCTGCAGAGGCGACAGAAATTTCTGTTGATGAACCAGAGGTGATGCGGCATTCATCAAGGAGACGAAAGAGGCGTTTTCCTGAGGATTATCTCTACTATGACTAACGAGGTAAAACTTACGAAAATACTGACCATCGAAAACTGAAATATGATTGAAATTCTGGGGAACATTAATTAATATTTCTGGGGATCAAGGGAACATGCAACAGAATTTCTGGGAACAGGGGAACTTGATGAAAGTGAATTTCAGGGAACATCTTAATTTATTTTTTGGGGAACAAGGAAAAACTCCAATTTTTTCTAGGGAACAAGGAACATGTACCCCCTGGGAGGCCCTCCGCTATGGCTGGGATGTTCCTTGAAGAAAATTAACAGTATGTTCTACCAAACCGATTAATGGAGATGATTTTATGCGTCTTAGCGTTCGATTTACAAATATCAAGGTGATAATGATCGAGGAAGGTTTCTGTAAAAACGCCTGGAGTTTTGATATCAAGAGGCCCGAAGCAACTCGACGACACCGATCGAAAGGGAAGAGTAGGGAATTTGAATACTTGAAATACTGATACATTTTAAGTGGAAAGGTATAAAGAAGAAGTGTTTGGAGTACTTTTTGCGAGCACTGCTTCGGCCTAGAGTAGTATGCTTTATGCTTCTTCTGGAGCAATTGCTGGTTTTCAGTGTCACGCCATTCAAAATAGATCAAAATAAAAATCAAAACCATTCGACAGATAAAGTCCAGAATCTGGGAAATGAAAGGAGGTAAATATACAAAGACCCTCGCCAAGATTTGGGTCGAAGGAATAATTCGTATACGAGATATCCGAGGAAATGTTTTACCCAAATTTATAGAGCTTTGTATGGAGACGCCATGCTGGAGCTCATCCGGATGAGCTCCAACATGGCGGACGGAAACCAACAGAAACATCTGTTACCGAGTTTTGCTACAAAAGCGTGAATTTACTCCTAGAGGAACTCATAAACATTAAAGTAATACTTTTTCTAACACTTGAACTGTTTAGATAGCAAAATTCCTCGAAAAAAGTCACTTTTTTAACCTAAATGACAGCTCTTTCGGTCGTCATGTAAATGCTGCGTCACGCAAAAGCTTAGAAATTCAAGCGTACTCTATTACAAAACCAAGAACCCTTTTGAAGCGAAAATTTGTTTGAAAATTAGTTTTCAGCTGCTCTAATACACCATGAAAGTAAAATCTCAGTAGGATCGATAGTTTTGTATTTTGAATTTTAGTGACGTCATGTGAAAACCAACAATACCATACGCGCTAACATCTAATTGCGATCGAAGGAGTGCTGGATATCAATTTTCAATATTTCAATCGTCAAACATCTTGGATTAATATGCGAGGGTAAAAAAAAATAAATAAAATTTCTGTAAATTGCACTCACAAAGGGTCGTAAACAGTCGTTAATCAATGTCTGTCTTTTCGAGGTGCAAAACCTCATTGCGGATGAAAATATTAAAATACCATTCACAGTTCAGAGGAGGACTTTATCGTGTTCTAATAGCATTAAAGTGGGGTGGTAGGCCTACACGAATTTTAACTCATGCCAAAATGCTGCTCGTTTCAATTAAGTTTTTTTCCTCTGCTGGGTAGATTATGATCTGGAAGATTCAGGGGAAGATTGTACATTTTCACTGAGATTTTAGCCGCTTGTTGCACACTGAGAGGTCATGGCACACACATCGATTTACTGTGGTTTTTGTATCTGGTCTGAAGGATTTTCCCTCTAATGCAAGAGCATTTTCTATGATCTCAGTTTTTGAAGCGTAAAGCATTTTATTACGGCTGAATAAGGGTTTTAATTTTCTCCAAAGTGCCTTCTGGATCTGAATAACTGAGCGATTTTTGTTAGTCCGTGAATGTAATAAAAATGTTGTTGTCTTTTTTTTGCAGTGTTGTATCACGCTGGGCCCAGCTCATGAGTTTTCTTTGCAGGATGTTAAATTATCACGGATAGTGATTTACAGATACAAAATTATAAGAATTAAGTGCAGCTTCAACTGAAGCTGCATCAAATATGGAGAAATGCATTGTGACTCAGTAGACTCCAGCTTGGTGTTTTTCTATAAATGCGAGAGTCTTCTGACTGGAGCGCGTATTCCCATCCTTGACAATAGCTTTTGAATAAGCTTAACAGTGTTTGAACTGTTTTGTTATTGCCACTTTGTGATCAGGCAAGACCATGGTTACGGTTCTCCACGAACAAACTGGCGGCATCTTTTTGCCACAAAAACAAGGTGCTTTTGCTTTTCCATCCGACTGCAAGATAAAAATAAACATTGCGTTACAATGAAAAGCAGCGGCACGTGAACGGTGCAACTGACTGTTGCTTCTTCCAAAGCACAGCACTATTTGAATTCGCTATGCACTACACCAAAAAGACCACCACCAACAGGCAAATTTTATGTAGATTTCAAAAACTTTTTTTTTCAAGGATCAGAAAATTGAAACTCACCTTCTTTTTTAGATGTTTTGCGCCTTGTCCGGCATTTCTTTGAGCTGAAAAACTCTCGTGTTCGGTCGTTTTGCCTCCCAAGAACGCACAAACGTTAATCGAACGGCATTTTTTCTTCACACCCCTGATTTCTCGCTGCTAAAGTCACAGCTCTCAAAGTAGTATGGGGAAAAGACACTTATAGGTGCAGGGTTGAAAGAGCCTGGAAGTGACCTTCCCCTGTGTTTCTCGGCGAGGGCGCCATTTTGCAAATGTGGGTGACGTCATCATATATCCAGATCTGGTAGTGGCCCGGACTGTTAAAAGTCATAAATATCAAGTACCTAAGAACTGCCAGAAAAATACTTAATTCCATCAGAAAATAATTCGCTATTTTTCTTCCCCTGACATCTTTACTTTAGCTACGTTTTTTAGTTTCAGCTCACTTAATGCGTTCCACTTTAAAAGCCATTCTTAAAGCCAGGAACTCCCTAAATTAAGAGATTTCTAATATGCACGACCCATGCATTCTAAAAACGTAAATTAAACCCTTCATTCTTTCTCTTCAGAATTTACCACCATGTATCATCACAGTCTTCGTCAAGATGTTTTTATAAAGGACGAGTACCATTATTTAAACGTTTCTAAAGTTGGAACGTTTACAGTGTATGACAGCCTTGACTGCACCTTTGAATGCCTCGGCAATCCTTCCTGTCTGTCCTTCAACCTGGCAGCTTCCAAAGGAGCAGATGGAAAGTTGCGGTGTGAGTTGTTATCCTCAGAAAAGTACAGCAGTCCTGAGGAATATAAAAGGAACGAGAGTTTTCATCACTTTTCCATCAAGGTGGGGTAAAATCTTTGCATAGAGTTTATTAAAGTAAGATATTTTTTGATATCCCAGTCTATGCGACTTTTAAGAGCGTGTCTCCGTAAAAACCGACCAGTGATTTTGGATCAAAAAATTAATTTCCCTTATATTCTGGGATATTAAAGCCTTCACCTTAGTAGTTACAAAAATACATTTCGTTTGACCGAAAGTGATAAATATATTTTTTTACGAATTTTTGAATTTCCGGACGATTAGCGCTGGCGTCATAGCCTTTCAAACTGCAAAAATCGCTAATATTGACCTCGCTCTAGAAAACGAACAACGCGCTCAAAAAGCCTGATTTTCTTTTCCGTATACAGATACACCACTGTAGATTTCCTAGCCATATCACAGTTCCGAATTATTCGTTTATTTCAACGGCAATGATATTTTCCCCAGCACGTGTTTTCGGCTTTCCATCAAAACGCGAAAGTAGCTCAACTTTGAGGGTAATTTTAAAAAGTGTGGCACCTGTCTGAACTTCGCTATCTGTATGAATACAATCTAGGAATGATAATAAAACACAAAAAGGAATAACATTTTTGTGCTCTCCACGTTTTCAGAAGAGACCGCCGTTTGAATTTCCAGAAATTTCGTAAACTTGATAATTAACGAACACTCGCCTTGTCGATCTGCTTGTCAAGGTCCAACTTCATTTGATGACGTGATATATCTTATCCAAGTTCTTTCACATTTTAAGGTTATTTCTCAATCATCTGAAACTATATTGGCCGTTGATTCCATGTCCTTTGTCCGTTTAAAGAAGTTATCTGGTTTACAAAATGGCAGCCATCCGCGAGCGTGACTGGTTCGTGACACCGTCCTGAAAGGTCTTTTGCTAAAATTAGTTGGGTGCAATCTTATTCATTGAGATTATACTCTTCAAGACATCGCAGTGAAATTTGTAGGGCAAATAAAACACGTTCCTTTGCAAATACGACGCGATGAGTCGCTGACAAAGCGTTTTAACCAAGTCTTCTGACAAACTTGAAAAATGCGTGACTTTGTATTTCATCCCCAGTTCCCCTGCATTGGGTGATGACCTGAACAAATACTAGCTCGTTCACTTGTTTATTAACTTCTTAGGTTGTAATGTCCCTCTTGGTTTTTGTAGAGGATATTTTTGCTCCTGAAGTAGCCGCTTTAACTCTGAAAACATCGAATTTTTTGTTTAAAACCTGTCCTTCAACGGCATCTTTTATCTAGTTTGTATAAAAGTAATAGAGAGCGTCATCAGTTGCGAGCGTGACACGGTTGTTTCGTTACATTTTCTGTAAAGTTCGATGTAATTAACATTGAATCGCCATACTTCGATACATTTTCTTCTTCAGCTTAACATAAACGCACTGACAAAAATGGTTCAACACATTTCAGCTAAGAGAATTGAGAAACCATGGCCACGCTACTACAGTTTCCACGTCCTTCCCAGGACCCCACGCTGCGCGGAAATTCATTGAACTGGACCCTGGCATTCACATTCCGTGCTGTTCTCATATCCTTTTCAACCTGAACAGGGTCCGCCTTGCGGCCAGTTCGCTCATCAATTTCAAACTTGGCTGTAAGATATTCTTTAACCTCACGAGAAAACCGGATGGAACCTGCGTGGGCCTTGCTTAGTGCCCATCCCATCTGCAGGGTTTCTACGTCAGTTGATGATTCGGACGCCAACATAAATGGTGTAGATTTTTTCACAGCCACATCCACTGATGTAAATTTTGTTGCCCAGTCCTTTCTGATCTTGTTTACTCAAGTCTGGGCTTAGAGAAGATAATGTCACAGTTTTTCAAATTTCAATGACCATGAAAGTCAGAGTCCGGGTTTTTTAGTTAATCAATTGTGGCTCTGAAAAAAAATTTGAAGCAAAAAAACTACGAATTTTTAAGAAAATGCTGTTTTCGTGAGAAGGCTCTTAAACGCTGACAAACGTCAACAAATAGCAAAAACTATAATTTCTATATGTTTGCTTTGCTCGAAATCGCGCGCATTTACAAGGCCCTAAAGCTCTTTGCTGACTTGCAAGGACCCATGTGTTATAACGATGCCCAGAATAAAGAGATGAATCTCATAGTTTATTAGATATAATCGTGTACAGTTTGCTTATCATTTTCGCATAAATTATGACCTAAATTTGGAAACCGCTGAATTTCTCGAATTGGGTCTTTGCGATTTTGGTTGGGCAAGGCACTAATGCGCACTATGTGTAGCCGAGAAATTTTCACGAAAAAATACCGGCAACAGCAGATTTTTGACTCAGACCTCAAAGGGGCGTGGCATTATAACCACATGACATTTACTCCGATCGCCAAAAATTTTATCTTATATTGTAGATTGATCTATACGTTATACATTCTATGTGTTAGACTTACGATAAAAGTAAAGGTGGGGATACCAGAGAGCTTCAAAGTAGGATGGTACCCCCAAAAAAAAAACTGGGTCGAGTCACCTTAAACTCACCTTGTCTCTTCATATTCCCCTAATTTATCACTCTCAGTGTTTTCCCCTCGCCAACGTTTATTTTCCTCATATTTTTGTCTTTGCTTCTTGACACAAGTAGTGCAAATTGCTGTGCATTAAAAAGTATCACAATGATGACTTTAACTTTTAGTCAAAGTCGATTCGTAGCGTAAAACTTATTTTTAGAACCAACACTGAATTGATAATTGACAACTGGCAAAATAAACTCAAAGCAGTTTTTAATCTCGCGGTTAGGTCTTGAGGTGTCGGAAAAATAGTTTTCAGGATATAGCATATAGCAGGGTTAAAAAACGTTTCAAATACAAAATCCCCGATACTCACAAAATAGGGTTTTTAAAGAAGGGGAACATTGCCAAGTGTTTCGCATAATTTCGTGGGTCACGTGCATGTAGGCTACTTTACCGAAATTATCTCTTACTTTGAAAAATAGAACGCTATGAATCAACGTAAAAAATAGACAGTCCTGTAAAGACATTCTAAGCACCTTTTAAATCTCGCAAAAATCCAGGAATACTTGTGTATTTTTGAACGTCTGTGTTGTAACAAATATACTTGTCCTAATTATACTAACGTGCTTGACCAAACAATGTAAAACAAGAATGTTCATTTCATACTTGTTATTTACTCAATCCAAGATTTCTACACTTACATCGTGGCACTGTTGCCAAAAAATATAACTGGTTATGATATAAATAGCCGGAAAAATAAACACCTTATGGAACGATTCCCTTTCAAGGTTTTACAACAACGTTGAATGGTTATTCCCTCGACCTTCTCTTTTAGTCTTTATTTATAATTAGATTTAAAGTTTGTTACACAATTCGGAATACTTGACCATGACATTTACCTTGGTTTTAAGAGTTCTTTTATTCTATTGAAAGTTAAAAAGTAAAGGCGCCTCACATACGTCGGTACTTCGAAATGATCATTTCATCATTATCTGAAAGACAAACCTTTTTAAACGCCCTCTTCATCAGTACTCCGTTTTACGGGTATTTAAGCTACTTGAAGCTACACGGAAAGAATTTCTCACACCTGGCCATGGACATCAATCTCAAGACCTCTCACACAGAAGACTCCAAGGGCTACGCAATAACCAACTGTGTCAATCGTTGCTCCTCAAAAAAGGGAAAACGTAAAATATTGTGTAGTAGAATGCTTACCTGACCCAATGGGAATTGTGATTCCAAAAATTGCGTGAATATTCTTGGACATCTCCAAGTTGATAACATGATTATTTTTTAGCTTTTTCCTTGCTCCTGAATGAAGAGGATATCGACATGTCCTCAAAGGACGCCAGTTGCGACCCAAATTATGTCTGTGTTTTGGACACACGAACATTTCTTCTTGCCGGTGTTTTGGCACATCGAATAGCCCCGCCCTGACTAGTATCAGTTCGTACTCCATCATTCCAGATAGTTTTGAAAGATGGCATGTCTTCAAGTGGATCGTTATATCTTCCTGGCATTCTCGCAACCTACATACTGTATCCGAACCTCGAAAACCTCCACAACTAGATTTTCCGAAGCCCGAGAAAGAACACTTTACTGTATCAGTAGCCATGTTACCCCTTGTTTGATTTGTGTCCAGTCCAGAAGGACTGGGGATGAAATACAAAAAGTCACGCAAATTTCAACTTTAATCTGAACTGGTTTAAATCGCCTTGTTAGCGACTCGTCGCGTTTTATTTGCAAAGAAAAGTGTTTTATTTGCTCTACAAATTTCCCCGCGATGTCTTAAAGAGTAATCTCAATGAACAAGATTGCATCCAACTAATTTTAGCAAAAGACCTTTCAGGACGGTGTCACGAACCAGTCACGCTGGCGGATACTGCCATTTTATAAACAAGATAACTTCTTAAAACGGACCAAGGACATGGAATCAACGGCCAATATAGTTTCAGATGATTAAGAAATAACCTTAAAATGTGAAAGAACTTGGATAAGACCCATCAAGCCATCAAATGAAGTTGGACTTTGACAAGAAGATCGACAAGGCGAGTGTTCGTTAATTATCTGGTTTACGAAATTTCTGGAAATTCAAACGGCGGCCTATTCTGAAAACGTGGAGAGCACAAAAATGTTATTCCTTGTTGAGTTTTATTATCATTCCTAGATTGTATTCATACAGATAGCGAAGTTCAGACAGGTGCCACACTTTTTAAAATTACCCTCAAAGTTGAGCTACTTTCTTGTTTAGATGGAAAGCCGAAAACACGTGCTGGGGAAAAAAATCATTGCCGTTGAAATAAACAAATAATTCGGAACTGTGATACGGCTAGGAAATCTACAGTGGTGTATCTGTATACGGAAAAGAAAATCAGTCTTTTTAAGCCAGGTGTTTGTTTTCTAGAGCGCGGTCAATATTAGCGATTTTCGCACTTTGAACGGCTATGGCGCCGGCGCTGACCGCCCGGAAATTCAAAAATTCGTAAAAAAATATATTTATCACTTTCGGTCAAACGAAATGCATTTTTGCAACTACTAAGGTGGAGGCTTAAATATCCGAGAATATAAGGAAAATTAATTTTTTGATCCAAAATCACTGGTCGGTTTTTACGGAGACACGCTCTTAATAACCTGTCACGAACACTAATCGACGTAGAAGTGACTACTGCACGTAACAAGTCGGGGTTATTCAGTCGAATGTCACTTTCTCCTTTTTTTTTCTCTTACTTCTGCCATCAACACTTTTACGCAAAACGAAATTACCTTAATTATATGGCATTTGACATCAACCTTTTCTTAAACTATTTCAGACTCCATGTATGTCATCACCTTGTCAGAACGGAGGCACCTGTGTAGCGAACTATAAGTATCACTCGTTCGACTGCCGTTGCAAAGAAGGGTTCTATGGAGAATTTTGCGAAGAAGGTAATTGATATTTAGACCGGGACCCCCGTTCAAGTTAGGACAACCCAACTTAGCGGCTTTACCTAAAATTTATCTTGGAAAATTTTAAAGGCGTTGTGACGTGTACGTCAACATTGATGTTACCATGGCAACCGAGTTTTGACAGCCATGGTTTTCAGAATTTGCTTTTTCTCTAAACAAAATAGGTTTAAATTCATTTCTTTTTTAACTGATTGATTTATTACGTTATCTACTTCTTTTTTACAGTTGCCAAGTCCTCATGCCAAGATGTTTATAATCAGCTCACAGAAAAGTGGGTAAACCTATGCATAGTAATTTAATTGATGAGGATAGATCACTTAAAGTCCGGGGGATCATTCGGAGTGCGTCAGTACTGTGTTTATAAGCCAAAAATCAGCCGTCAGGCCTCAAAAACGGAATACAATTGTGTTGCAGGGAAAGTCGATATCACTTAATTAATTGTCCAGGTTAGAATTCGTATCGTGGCTGATGAATTCTATTTCAGCCTTTGTTCTCCACTCTGGAAACTTAGGGTTATTAGAGACCTAAACTTGTAAAAACTGTTGAATTTTTAAAACAAATGATTGGTACTGTTAAGATAATAAAAACCATAATCTGTGAACACCACCATCCTGCAATGAAGGCCCTCCAGCAAAAAAAGTTGTTGATGAAATGCGGTTGAACCCCGCCGTTTCGTTTAATACGAACACCCGTATAAAACGAATGATTCGTTTGTACCGACAAAAGTTCAGATATTTCAGTGCTCATAAGTAAACCTGGTTAATATGGAAAACAAACACTTTTCTTGTGTCCCGAGTCCCAAACTGTCATATAATAATTATCGTAAACTTCCCCGGAAGGTCCTCAATTAAGTTTTATAGGGCAAGCTTAGCCCTGGGTCTAACTCCTTACGTTTTATGCCCATCATTTTTGCAGAAAAGGTACTCCTTTCGTATACCATTCCATTCGTCTCTAATGGTTAAAGGTTCGAGTGGCTTGTTGCAGGCACTTCATCCCCAGGGGGTACTCAACAAATTTTTACGGTGATAATCCCTGCCCCAAGGTCCACGTCCTTACTTTTTCACATACCTTTTGGCGGTTGAGGGGTGGAGTGGCTTGTTACAGGCACTTTATCCCCAGGGGTTACTCAACAAATTTTTACGGTGATAATCCCTGCCCCGAGGTCCACGTCCTTACCTTTTCACATACCTTTTGTCGGTTGAGGGATGGAGTGGCTTGTTACAGGCACTTTATCCCCAGGGGGTACTCAACAAATTTTTACGGTGATAATCCCTGCCCCGAGGTCCACGTCCTTACCTTTTCACATACCTTTTGGCGGTTGAGGGGTGGAGTGGCTTGTTACAGGCATTTTAAAATGAGCTCAGACCATACAAGGGCCAATGGGAAGAAAGACTACCTTATCAAAATCAAACCTGCACGCTATTTTAATTGGAGTTTCTTTTTTTTAGTAACAAAATCGTATTAACCCACAGAAATCTGTAATTATTTGAAAAAGGTTCATTGTATGCAATTAGTGCGTGGTTGTGACAAGGAAATAGACCGTGGCAGCTATAGGTAGCCAGTGGTCACCAGTGTCCATAAAGCGGGGTTGACGACATGAGATTTTAAGTCTTCGGAACACAGAAAAGTGTCCGTTCTCCGTCTCAACCGTTGTCCTTATTAAACGGGTTGGAGAAAGTACGTGAGCTTCAATAATCAAAACATGCAAAACTGACTACTGAATATCTGTGTAACATGTTCTGAGTAGTTGTCAAGAAAAACCAATCCAAGTCTTACATGTAGCTCGCGCGTAAAACAGGGGTCCTTTGCCGTCAGATGGGAAAAACATCATGCGCACCTTTTTCGCGGTTTTTCGGTCGCCCCTTTCGCCTTCCCTCTGAACATCTGCTACGCTGTTTAGCCATCTTCGATGTCCGAATTTAATTGCTACAGAACACTTTAGTCAAATACACTTTATTAAAGTTAGGTGAAGAGCATGCAGCACAGCTTGGTATTATAATGCAAAAATAAATATCAACCTGTGCTTGAGGTGAAATTATATCAGTCCAAAGTACATTAATCGTGTAGTAGCTCCTAGTAACATGATGGGGAACCTGGCAAATTTAGATTTGACTGAGATTGTACTGAATTCCATTCATTTATTTTTGTAAGAAAAAGAGAACCTTTTTTTTTTTACAACCAGTTAAGGTACATTCCATTTTTTTCTCTCCGACAGTTGGGAGCTGGAAAAATTAAAATGAGATTTCATTTTGTACAGGTTGAACGTGAGTCGGTTGGTCACTCTCCTCCTTGACTCCAAACTAGTTTCAGTTCTCTGTCACTTTGGAAATTTTGGATGCGGCGATGGAGGATGGACACCGGTCATGAAGATGGACGGCAACAAGGTAAGACATTTGTGTACGTTTTCCCTTAGTTTGGCGACGAGAGTGGAAAAAAAAAATAAATACAGGTTTGCCTCTGTCAGAGGTATAATTTTCAACAGGGGCACCCAACGAGGATATAGTTCAAAACCACTTAACATAGCATTGTTGAACGTATTTTAGTTTTCAAACGGTAGATATAGGCATATTTTTATCCCCTAAAAACGTTTCATCTGTTCGGATTTCCTAGCTGAAAATCTAGTGATCCGAAAATGATAGGGATAAAAACTTACCTTTTTATTCTATCGGTGACCATTAACGTCATTTTGCGTGCTGTGGCTAAATTGTCATTTTATAAAGCTGGAGAAGTGAGGACATTGCAGATATTCTTTTCATTGTAATGGATCTTTCATTCTTTCTTTTTTCTTCTCCTGAAAGGATGTTATCTTTAGAAGAAAAAAGAAGCTTAAATTTCAACTTTTCTTTTTAAAGGACATTTTTGCTATTTCTTCCTCCTTTCTACCACAGCAAATATTTCATTACGAAACAGCCTTTTGGAGAAACAAAGAAACCTTTCACCCTGACGGAGGGAAAACTGGGTTTGACTCACAGGAAACCAAACTTCCCTCCTACTGGAACACATCCTTCTCCAAGATCTGCCTCGGTATGAAGATCAACAACCAGACCAATTTTATTGTCATTAACAAGCAGGCGAACTCCTTGTACTCTCTGATCGCTGATGGGCAATATCGCAGCACCTCACTGGGTCGTGACAAGTGGATGTCACTGATTGGTTCTAATGCCTCATTGCAGCTGAACTGTAAAAAGGAAGGGTTCAACGCAAAGTGTACCTTGAGTGGCCGTTCCAAAGCAAGAATCGGTATTCTCGGCAACGATCAAACAGATTGCCATGAATGTAACTCCAGATTGGGGTTTGGGAGTGAAGGGAACTACGATGATAGGCGGAACACATGTGGAAATTTGGATAACCACAAAGGAAAAAAGACTGAGCATCAAGACAATGGGGTATATACTGGTGCAGTGATAACAATGCTCCTTTACATGTCTTTGAGCGAGTAGTGGAATATAAAGTTATACCCGAAGCATATAAGCCCGATTCGGGTTATATGCTTCTGATTCTTCACAGTCCCTTTAACGATACCTCATCGTTACGATGATGAGTAGAAATAAGTTTAGTTATAGACAAACCTTATACACGTCTAGACCTAACGATTTTTTTCTGTCGAGGCATGTGAACAGACAACCAGTGGGGATCATGTTTGTAATGTTTGTCCAAGAATGTTAAAGAGCGGTTCTTGGTGTGTATAAAAGTAGAAGTGCTCGGATAATTTGCTCTCCTATTCCTTGCCATTGAAACCTGTGGAATTGAAGAAACGTTTTTAACAAGAACTTAAATCTAAACGTTTCTCAATGTAAGAAAGCTACTTAAAAACGAAGAAATACATAATAATAAACTAATATAATAAACTTTATTTCTCAAACTGCAATCATATTCAGTGGTTCCACAAAGACTGAATCAGATTTAAGGCCGCCAACTGGTCTGAGGGAGGCACTTTAGGACTGAGACAGTACAGTTGCTACACGAGGACAGTCCGTTGGGAAGACCGATGTGCGATGTGTTGAAAGTGATAAAAGAGGCAGTGGCGATTCCCACCAACAAAGAAACGTCCACTACGCTGTTCCAACAGCAATGTAGGTTGTTTAACCTCACCTTCAAATTTTAAAATACCGTATTTCCTCGAATAGTAGCCGTCCCTCGATTAATCGCTCCCCTCGAATCAATTACCCCTCTTAGACGGAAATATTGAAGACAATCGCCTCCCTCGAATAAACGCCCACTCTCCACCTCTCTCGCCATCTTCTCTTTCTCTTATACCCTCCCGGTCAACTTGAAGTGGCGTCTAATCCAGCAGAATGATCAGTGACGCTTCAAGCTCTGACACCGAGGATATTGATACTGAAAATTAATCAAGGAACCAAATTTGGAACACTTAGAAAGACCATGTTCAGTTTTTCTGATGTGATCATTTTTCGATTTAATGGGATAATAAAACAAAAGGACATGACTTCCAAAATTTTAAATTATCGCCTCCCTCGAATAATCGCCTTCCCTCCAATAATCGCCCCCGGCTATTTTTCGAGGAATAATGATAAATGAGGGAGGGTGAAAATTAATGAGACTAGGCAAACGGCATAATGACACCGCCAAATAATGCTGTCATCTAACCTAGGTCATGATCACTCTACACGGCCAGCATTATCTTGCCAGTATTTTAAAAAGATCGTTAGTGTTTCGTCTAGGATTTGAAACCGGGCCTCCCGCTTATTATTAGCAAATCTGAGCTAACAGGCCGAGAAGTGGTTACATGCATGCATACAAGACACCGAGGGAGGAAAGACGTGGGCGAGCGAGGAGCACCAGACACGCGCGTGTCTCACGCCACTCGCACGAAAAACGCGAAAAACTAGCATCTGCTCTACAGGCCGATAATAAGGAAACAGGAAGAGGTACTGAGATTTTAGAAAAGAACAGGGACAGGGCGCTTTCTTTATAATGGGCTCGTGTTTGTAGCACCACTTCACAACCTTTGGAGATGTAGATGGATTCTGACAACAGTAATAAGCGGTATACAAAAATAATGATACACGACGCAGTCGTAGTATAGAGTGTTTTCACTAACGTGGCCAGCATCTATGCAAATTTATTAGAACAAAAGAAAGCATTTGCATAAGAAAAGAGTTCAACTCCCAAAGGACTGGTTAGGGACACCAACATGGCCGCCGTGTCATTGTTTTGGGACACCAATATGGCCGCCGTGACGTCATGTGAAAACACTCTATAGTAGTAAGAAGCATAAGCAAAGACGACGGCGATGGCTGCGAGAACGCCACTTAAAAAGTGAATTCGCTCTGCCTCGAACGTGATCGACTTACTCCTCAAGGCCACACACCCTTCTCATCGGATCCGCCTAACCGTGGGCTTTCGTAAGGATATTCACTGGTGGCAGACCTTTCTTATCTCGTGGAACGGCCGTAGTTTCTTCCACGCGGACGCATGGATGTCTAGTTCTTCTTTGGACATTTTCACCGACGCCAGCCACGCAGCTTTTGGCGCCTATCTCGCTGGTAAATGGTTCTCTTGTTCGTCTACAGTTCATCGCGTTCCCCTGTCCAGGTCCATTACGTTTAAGGAACTTTACGCTATTACCGCAGTGGTGTCCACATGGGCCCCTTCACTTACTTTTCGGAGCTTGTTATTTCACTGTGACAATCAGTCGGTGGTCCACATCCTCTCCTCTGGTACCATTGGTTGCAAGCATATCATTTCTATGTTGTGTTATTTGTTCTATGTTTGCGCTTCACACAACATCGTGTTACGCGCTGTACACATCCCTGATGAGACCAATTGCTTTGCTGACTGTCTCTCTCGTCTGCAGGTAACCAAGTTCCACCGCCTTTGTCCGACGGCCAGCAAGCATCCGAC